CAATTTCTTTTGTTTTGCAAAGGAACAAGCATCACAAATTTGAATAGCAGGGAATTTTATTAATGGATATTGAGAAGACAAAGTCTGAAGAACATTATTGGAGGGATGGCCTAACTTTTGATGCCATACAATAGAGCTAGGAGTATTTTGATTTTTATTACAATCATTACTCATGACAGAAGAAACAGAATTCTCACTATACTCTATTAAATGAAACAAGCCAGATTGTTCTTTAGCTGCTCCAATCTTCCTGAAGGTATGTTTCTGCATAATAATACAATCATGTTCAGAAAAGATGACAACACAATTGATGGTTTTTGTAAGTTTGGGAATTGATATCAGGGATACTGTGAATTCTGGAACATAAAGAGTATCGTATAGAGTAAGGTTTCCAATTTGAATTGTTCCAGATTGTCTCACAGTAACTGAATTATTGTTAGGCAATTTTATTGAAATGGGTGAAATAGAATTTAAAGAGAGAAACTGTGATTTGTATGGACATATGTGGTCAGTGGCACCACTATCAAGAAGCCATGTGGATGTAGTTTTAATACCTGCATTGTTTATGAAGGAATTGGTGTTATCCAGTTTATGAACACTGTTAACAACAGGAGAAGGATTTGAATATGGATTTGGAGATTGTTGTAGCAAAGCCAGAAGTGCATGATATTGATCCTTTGAGAAACTATATTTGTTCTGAGATTGGTCTTCCTCCTGAATTGAATTTGATGTAGCAGCAGGATAAACAGTTTCAAGTATGTTTGCAGAGGTTTGTCTGGCTCCAGAAATGTTTCTACTTCCTTCATTTCCATTGTTCCTATAGCCTGGTGGATATCCATGGATCATAAAACATGTTTCCACAGTATGATTGGTTCTGTTACATTTGGTGCAGAATTTGTTGTTTCTATTTCCATTTCCCCTTCCTGAACGTCCACCACGAGTGCTAGAGAATCCACCGCGATTGTTGGAATTTTCTCCACGGTTATTTGAGAATTTTGTAATTGAGTCATTATTTCCTTGGTACAAAGCGTTGGCTGAAACTTCTTGAGGTATGGCAGAAACATTTACCCCAAATTCACGCTCTTGTTGCTGGATTAAAGAGAATGTTCGAGATAGAGTTGGCATGGGATCAATTAGCATAACTTGCGAACGTACTTGAGCAAAAGAATCATTAAGACCTCTTAAGAACTTAATGACACAATCATCATCTCTCTCCTTCTGTATTTTCTCAAGAATTCCACAATTGCATTTCGATTTACACGAACAAGTAAGAACAACACGATATATGGATAACTCTTTCCAGAGGATCTGTAACTGAGTGAAGTATTGAGATACTGTAAGATCACCTTGTTTGCAATTTTGAATTTGTTCCTGTAGGTAAGCAATGCAAAATTTGTTGCCGTGTGAAAAATGATCGCACAAATCCTTCCATATCTCCGAAGCTGTATCTATCCACATCACTGATTGCCGAACATTAGATGTCATGGAGCGAGTGAGCCATGACATAACAATCTTATCGCAGCGACGCCAAGCTTCATGCAACGGATCTTCAGGTTTTGGACATGGAATCGTGCCAAGGACGAACTAGTCCTTGTTCTTGGTTTCAAGTGCGATAAGCATATCATGTTTCCACTGTTGAAAATTATTTTCGGCAAGCAGTGGTGAAACTAAGATGAGAGCTGGATTCTCTCCTGGATGCAGGAACAATGGATTTGCTGGATTGACAAGATGATCAGCCAATTGATTTCCGTCCACCATTTTTGCGGAAAAGAAGAAAGAAAATTAGAGAAGGATAATGCGGTGATGTTGAAGCTCTGATACCATCTTAGCGAAGAGAGAATCAGGAAAATCGAGAAAATGAATTGATCAAATTGAGTGATTTACATCCAGTACCAGTATTTATATTACAACAGTAATTATCTAGCCATAACAAACTTTGACTAGTCAACTGAAAACTAAAAGTTGGTACTTTTATATCTAATAATAAGCTAAGGAAATACTAATTTTTAAGAGCCATTTTGGCGCACGAAAATGATTTCACTGATTATGTTGAAATTTATGAAGTTCTGGCTGAAGTGACTGCAATGGTTGATTCTACTGATTCAAGAAAAAATTGTTTTAAAACACATTTTATTAATAGAATAAAGAAAAATTTATTTTAAAAATAGATAAAACGATCATCTATAGTAACTTTAGCCAATACAGCCAGAAAAGTAACATCAACCCTACTTTTTCTGCTAATTACACAATTCAACGCGTGAAAGCAAAAATTACATGTTTTGTAAAAAGTTGGCTGATGAGCCTGAAAAGCCGAAAAATAGTGCTGTCAAACGGCCTCTAAAATTGCTTCACATCACCAGTTGAATTACAGATGGAAATAAAATAAACATTCCTAATTCTAGGTAAGTGAAAGTTACAATTAAAGTCAGGTCAATGGGAGTAAAGAATAATATTTTAAAATATACGTAGTATGTGGTATTATACTCCGTATTATTATGTGATAAGAATAATGTGCTCCGTAGATATTTGTAATATGGACCTTGGCCATTATTATACGGAGTATTACTCAACCTCTCCCCTGACTTCTTGACCATGCGGTTGGGCTGAGGAGGGAGAATGAGATGGGGACGGAGGACTGTGTGGCAAACCTTTAGATTTTGAATACCCTACACGACTGGATAATGTAATGTTTTATTACCAACCTTCAATCATTATCACCAAATATTTATATATATTCTCATTTCAGTTTCTAGCTTTTTTGTATATCAAGAGCTATTTAAATAGTTTTGCCACCTTCGCTCTCTCGATTTTGTGCCACTGACATTTTAAGCGCCTGCTTGGTAGCACAAAAATCGACTGTTTTGGCTGATTCTACAAAAATTTATGAAATTCAGGCTGAAAAGGCTGCATTGACTGATTCTGTTGATTCAAGAAAAAATTATTTTTAAAATATATTTTATTAATAAATAAAGAAAAAATAATACTCAATATTGATATGGTTGATATCATTGTATAGATTGTGCATGATTGGAGTAACGAGTTAGAGAAATAATTAAACTCTTTTAAAATGATACTCAATATTGATATTGGTAGATTTTTCCAAGCATTTACCCAACTATTCATTGATTTGCCTACTAGGATAAAAAAAAAGTTTAAAGATAAAAATGTCATAATTTGTAGTGTACGTGTCAAATGACGGAATTACGGAAAGAGTAATGTAATGTACGTCGTGTGGTGTCTAGTGCGCCACTGTGCCCCGAAGGCCCTTCAAACTCCGGGGGATCAGGTGTCACCCATGCCCAATCGTAACTTTAGCCAATGTAACAATTTGTCAATTTAGGTAAAGAAAGTTGACAAAATGAGTCCTTAATTTCAGGAAATTGATTGATGACTTTTGTCATGGTAATAACTAATAAGAGTGAGAAAGGAAAAGAGTATTGTAAAGTACCAAATATTCACTTGATGAATCTAAAAAATACTTTTAACACAATGCATGATCATAATATCCATGGGCGGAGTTAGGGGTGGGCCAACCTAGGCCCTGGCCCACTCCAAATTTTAAAAATGACTTAATTTTTAAGATACAAAATTTCGTGTAATTTTTTTTTTCTAAAAATATTTTTTGTACTGGTCCAGTCTTGTCCAGTGCCCAGGCTCCGCCCCTCGTAATATCCCAATAGTTTTCTTATGGCAGCTAGCATTAATGAATTAAATAGTGGGCAGGGTAACGTTTCATGTACGTAGCATAAATATGTGGTTCAAAAATTCAAAATTCTGAACTTTCGCTCGAGTTTAACCAAATATATATAGAATCCGGCAGCTGCATGACATTAATTTTGCAGCTTATAATCTTATATCATGAGAATTAATTAGACTAAATTCATTAACATGTGCGGATTGGGCAGTAGGCTGAGTAACAATGTAACATGGCATGACATGATTAAGAGCTTAAAAATGTTTATGATTTGAAGACAATAGTTTATTGGAATGTAGCAAAATGGAAAATGAGAACAAACAATAATGACACATGTGTATACACAAACACATGTCTATAGATATTTATCACATGAATGACTACTTCATATTTTTTTTTGGAAATACTACTTTATATTGTTATAAGAAAATAATAACACTCATTCCTTCATTTTCAAATTGATATACAAAACTAGAGACCATTTTATAACATCGTTTTTCCGCTTATCATACTTATCACTCAACTTTTTCATCAAACACGCAACTTTTGTTTTCGCGTGTTAAATTGTGTAATACTCCGTAATAAGAAAAAGTAAGGTTTAAGTTATTTTTCTGAGTGTATTGGCTGAAGTTACTATAGATGACCATTTTAGCTTTTTATGTATAATTTTTTCTTTATTTAATTAATAAAACATATTTAATTTTTTTTTCTTAAATCAGCATAATCAGCCAATGCAGGCACTTAAACCACAATTTCATAAATTTTAGCAGAATTAGCCGAATTGAATCAGCCGATTTTCGTGTTACCAAACGGAGTCTGTATCACCAGGTTTTAACGTTTCTCAATAGTTTGTACGTGAATGCTAGTAATTAAAAAATATGTAAATTTATTTAATATTAGACCAAAAGATCCGTAGAAATAAAAAAAATAACTATGTTCAAAAAACTATGTACATATGCACCATAATTGTTTTGATTTGATATAATTATTAATAAAGTAATTGAAACTCTAAAACTTATGATTGAAATTACAATATAAGTGAGTGAAATATTTCTTTTCCAAAAATAATACGGAGTATGACACTTATTTTCGAATAACTCAAAAACAATAAAATCATCGTGCCTATGAGATGGAGGATATTTATTTATTAGATATACATTGTTTAAATTTTTAGAGGATTTAATAAAATATCATAAAATTTGAAAATAAAATGTTTTCATTCGCGTGCATGACCGAAAAATCGGATGGGAGAAGTGCGTTTATTATCCTTTTGGACAAAAAAGAAGAAAAAGAAAGTGCTCTTTGAAAAAAAGAGAGAGAGAGAGAGGATTATCGAGATTGGTGAAAAGAGATTCCTACCAAACGAAGGAAAAGTAAAAGCAGATTGCTAAAGAAGGAAAGGTAAATTTGCAGAGTGTGGGAGACAGAATTTCAGCTTTGTTAGTCTTTAGTAGTGTTACATCAATCAGTTATTGTTCCCAGCACCAACAGTTTCAGTGACGGAGGTGACTGCTATAGCTCTCCCATTAGAAGAAGAAGAGAAATGGCGACGTTGTCGCAGCAACACTCCCCCGCGGCCCATTCCTGCCGCTCTCCGCCGCCCGCTAGCGCCATCACCTCTCCCGCAAGCTCATCCCCCAACCGGTACGATTCAGACCATCATTTTATGGCAGTATTTGAATCCGAGGCTTTGATTTTGGACCTTTTGGTATTTACATATGGCGCAGTTCATTGTTTCTGGAATTCATATGCTAATAGCCTGATACTTATCTATCTCTGTTTTATCAATCCCAAGTAAATCCTTTTCAGTTTATTAGATTAGATCCCTATGACTGGGAATTCCATCTTAGTTTTAGAATTCCATCTTACTGGCCGGATTTAGAAGGGTAGAGCAGGATGAATTGAAAGGGAATATGAAATTTCAAATTTATCAAGTACCAATCATATGACTCAAACAGAACACTATTACTGGCAATTTATTTTATTTTTATTTTCAAGTGTAATATATATAATTCCAAACAAGATAACTCTATTTGAATTCACTGGGTAATGATTTCTCTCTTTGAGAAGGAATTTTTTCAATAGATGATCTAAAAGATATTCTAAATATCAATCCTGAAAGATGTTTTTTTACAAGACCCGAATAATTGTAAACTACGGAGTATCAATTTAAGACTTAAATGTCATGATTTTTTAAACAGTTTAAATATTACTCCGTATTTACTTTTATTAAACCAATAAATTTTTGTGAGGGAAAATTCATCAATATCAGAAATAAAATAAAAAAAATGATTAAAGAAGTCAAGATCAATAGTATTTTAGGCCTTTGATTAATCAAGTCCTAAACTAATAGTAGTACATTTTATATTTCAAATTCTAGATTGATAAGAATCATTTTTTGGTCTTGAAAATTGGGAAAAAAAATCCTTTTTTAAATGGCCTAATTTGGTTACATCGCCTAAAGGTGCCATTGTAATTAAATGTATCTTATTTTATTCCATAGACTACTTCTTTAGAAATATTTGTATACGGAGTATCTCTATAAATACGCTCACCAATGCACACTTTTATAAGTTTTGTGAAATTATCCTTCCAAACCTTCTTAATTCCAACCATGTGAAAAGCAATTGAGTGTCAAACAGTGTATGTTCATCCGTATACTTTGTTTCATTCATTAACACATAGCTTTTTGCATAATGTCTTATTGCAAGTGACTCTGACTAATCTATGTTTCTGCAGTATATTTTCTGATGTAGCAGGGGATATTACTATTCATGTTAATGGAGAGTCTTTCCTTCTTCACAAGGTACGTTGTTTTCCATTTCCTGCTTTCCACAATACTCGGTATTTCTAAAGGAAATGTCTCCAGTTAACTTTTTTATTTTTTTAAATTGTTTAGTTTCCTCTGGTATCTCAAAGTGGGAAGATCAGAAAGATGGTGGCAGAAGCGAATAATAATCCATCAAACCATATAGAACTTGAACTGAATCACATACCAGGTGGGCCCGAGGCATTCCAGCTTGCAGTAAAGTTCTGTTATGGCATGAACTTTGAAATCACAACAGCAAATGTGGCGCATCTACGTTGCGTGGCAGAGTACTTGGAAATGGATGATGATTATAGTGAGGAGAGCCTCGTTTCACGTACAGAAATCTATATGGATGAAGTGGTGGCTCATAGTCTCGAGAAGTCAGTCGAAGTCTTGGCTTCTTGTGATGCATTGCTACCTGCAGCCGAAGAGTTAGGGATTCCAGGGAGATGTATTGACTCCATTGCCAAGATTGCTTGTCAAGAGCAACTTGTATCTGGTCTATCACATTTGGATTTTGAAGATGACAGCGGATCTCTGGAATGGTGGGTTGAAGATCTCTCCATTCTTAGAATTGACTCTTACCATAGACTCATTACTGCTATGAGCAAAGCTGGGGTACGCACTAGTACCATTGTTGCATCATTGATGCATTATGCACATGTATTCCTAAAAGGTATAGGGAAACCACACATATGGAACCCTGCCCGGGCATATCCTATTGTGGTAGAAAACAAACAGAAACTCATTGTCGAAAACCTCGTCACTCTATTGCCTCAAGAGAAGGGGTCATCATATTATGTCCCAATAAGTTTTCTATTCGCAATGTTGAGGATGGCGATCGTGGTGGATGCCATGTTAGCATGCAGGCTAGAGCTCGAGAGAAGGATTGCCTGCCGGTTAGAAATGGTTTTACTTGACGACCTCCTCATCCCTTCCACTCAGACAGGTGATTCTTTGTTTGACATCGATATGGTCCACCGGATCTTGGTGCATTTCCTGCAACGGGTCGAAAATGAAGAGAATGTGGATTGTGGGTATGAATCTGAAGCTCTCGGCTCTCCAAGCCATGGCTCTATATTGAAAGTTGGACAGCTCATTGACGCTTATCTAGCTGAAATCGCTCCTGACCCGTATTTGAGTCTTGATAAGTTCATCGATATGATAGCGGTTCTACCAGATTATGCTCGTGTATTAGACGATGGGCTCTATCGAGCTATAGATATCTATTTAAAGGTGAGGTTCTAACTTTTGAAAACAATTTACGTTTCACTTTCCAAGTAATTAGGCCTGAGTCACTAAGCTGAGTCGTAATACACATTGGTCAAACCACATTGAAATACTGAATTGAATCGACTACTTAGTCGTAAAAGATTAACCTTTTAGAATGGAATTTCAAATCTTAACATGATATCACAGTCTCTTAAACTCCAACGAACAATCCCCATAAGACTATAATGAGCGTACGAGATTTATCATTGGTATGCTCCACCTGAGCAATCATCAAGTCAGTATCTTGTGGGGCAATGTTAAGCCATCATGTATTGGCCAGATATAAATACAAAATGCAAATTCATATTAAAACTGGCATCTTAAGTCATCCTATATTGACCGCATATGAAATTCAAATTCATGTTCGAGACATTGAAGCACTTCTATTGTCTTAATCTCTTAAGATTTAATCTCAACTCTTAATACTAGTTTACTCACCACATTTTGAACTCATATGTCTATCTTCAGTATATCTACCTGGTACTCTTAACTGGAAGATGTTAATCTTGGAAATATTATACAGGCACATCCAAAGCTATCTGAGCAAGAATGTAAAAAGCTATGCAGGTTCATAGACTGCCAAAAGTTGTCTCAAGAAGCCTGCAACCATGCTGCACAAAACGACAGGCTCCCTGTGAAGATGGTGGTGAAAGTTCTATACTTTGAACAGATCCGTTTGAGAAGTGTCGTGTCTGGGGATTCAGGAGACGGATTTCCGTCACAAAAAATAAGCAGCGGTGTCACAAGTGCAGCTGTGTCTCCTCGAGACACATATGCTTCTCTGAGGAGAGAGAACAGGGAATTAAAGCTTGAAATATCAAGAATGAGGATGAGACTAAGTGATCTGGAAAAGGAACAAGTGTCCATGAAACAGGGGATGGTGGTTAAATCAGGACATGGAAAAAGTTTCTTAACCTCTATATCCAAAGGCATAGGAAGGATAGGTATTTTTGGCGGTCCGGCTGGTGGGAAGCAACACAAGTATGCGCGGAGATCAAGGGCACCATAAGGAAAAAACTGGTAGGAGCAAAGGATTCTCTGGTTCATAGTTAGGATACGTTTTACACTTCTGACACAATTTTGTACCTGATTTCTAGTATACTTTTTCGATATCAAGTTTTGGGTTTTTCAAGGTGATTCAACTAGTGATCCAAGGTGATTCAACTAGTGATCCAAGGTGATTCAACTAGTGATCCAAGCCAATCCGACACCCACGGATCAAGTTCAACTGGTTTAGGTGATAATGGTGGTTGGGTTCGAGCTTGATGCTTGACGAGCTGTACAAATGCGCCTTGTGTTTGGCTCGGTAGATGTTCAATGAGCATTTGATAAGTTCAAATGTAGAAGCCCAGTTTATGCTCATTAACATGTTTGTGCTCGAATTATTTGATAAGTGCTTGAATGGTAATAGTAAAATTGGAGTTAGTTTTATGAATTGACTGAAGTTATTGTAGAGAATCTGTTTAACTAATTTTCATAGTTTTTTTATTTACTTTATTCATAAAATATATTTTCAATACTCCCTTTGTCCCTTAAAACTTTGCCAAATTTGACCGGCACGAGGATTAATAATGTAAAAATTATGGTTGAGATTTGTGCAGAGGAAAGAGAGAATTAACTCGAACCACAAATTCTTTACTCCTTCCGTCCCCTTTTTAATGTCTCGTTTTACCGTATTGGGATGTCCCTATTTAATTGTCTCATACCTTATTTGGTAAAGTTTGTGTGGCTCGAAATCATTCTTACTTTATTCTCACTTTATCAATTAATATTAACCACACAAACTCATTTTTCTTAAAACTCGTGTCACCCTCTTCCGTCCCAATAAAAAAGGGACGGATGTAATACTTAAAAGGAAAAGTGACAAAGTTAATGGAACATCCAAAAAAGGAATGTTGACAAAGTTTTAAAGAACATATGGAATATAATTTTATCATAATCTAGCAGATTCAGCCAATTGAGCCGTTTCGGCCAGAACTTCATCAATTGTAGCACATTCAGCCAAATCAAACAATTTCAGCGTTACCAAACGAGCTCTAGAAAATATAATCATTGTTTCATTTTTTTGATATATTATACTTTTACCCACACAGATAGCTCAATGGTTGCCGAGTGAAGTTGTTGGATTGGGAGCTTAGGTTCCATCCTTGATAACAACAGTATGAGAATTTCATGTAATGTGGCAGCTCCTCCAGCACACCAGACTTTGAACCATTTCACTCAGAAACTTTTGAGATCATCACACCATATCACAATTTATCCGTCCACCATTCTGTCGAAACATGTAGATTTATATTAAAGTATAGGTAAATGTAAAATATTATGTACTCTTACTCATATTTTCCTTATAACTAAAAGTGCAAAAAGTTTGTCATCTTTTCTTTTTGAGGAAAATAATAAAAAATACCCCAAACTTTGAAGGGGTGTGAGGTAAACGTTATGTGTATATGTAAACTTTAAAAGTAAACTTGCATATGTATTTTAAATACTTCAAACTTTATATAAAAAGTTATTTCCGCACCATTGTCATGTACGGGGTATTATTTATTCTAAAAATGTAAATTTATGGGATTGATTGTTTAATTTAAAATAGCAAATTAGAAGTGCTGCAATTATATATATATATATATATATATATATATATATATATATATATATATTTGGGGTAATATTATTTATTTCGCAATGTAATATTAGAATGTTAATTGTGTCTTCATAAATTTAAAAAAAAAAAATTATGTAATTAACACTATAAATTTACATTTTTAAAAGAAATAATATTTGACTATGATGCTAAAATAACTTTTTATATAAAGTTTGAGGTATTTAAATTGCATATGCAAGTTTGGGATAATATCTTCCACCCCTTTAAAGTTTGGTGTATTTTAATTATTTTTCTCTTTCTTTTTTGGCGACTCAAAAAACTTTGTAACTTTTTCTTTTGTTGATATTATTTGTGATTGGTTTCGTTAATAGTTTTTATTTTATTAATTTATAGTGGTACATTTTAAATTCAGGGGGAGAGGATTACTCCTTCCGTCCCTTAAAACTTTGCTAACTTTCCTTTTTTGGATGTCCCACTGATTTTGCCACTTTCCCTTTTAAATAAAGAATTTGTGGTTTCTGTTAATTCTCTCTCCTCTGCACAAATTTCAACCACACAATTTTTACTTTATTAATCCCAGTGCCGGTCAAACTTGGGAAAGGATGTAGTATAATTCATGATATGCAAGATAGTTACTGTTCAAATATCCAAATGCTCCCACTTCTCAAGTTCTCATCATCACTCTAGTATTGAACTGATAACCCATTTCCACCGGAAATCATTGGCTGAGCACCAGGCCACCGGCCATTCATTCGTCTATTTCCACGTCAAAAGATCGCTTAAAGTCATAATCAGATTTGAAGGCTTCGAATCCCACAAGAGATGCAAACCGGAGCCCTGCTTTCCTGCATGACATCTTCTTCCTCCTCTTCATTGTACGGTAAACCTTAGTTAGCTCTTGAATTTATTCGTTTGATTTTCATAATTTCATTTACTTGAATTTGATAACTGCTGCAGGTCTCCTGTTCTTTGTATTGCCTTTCCCGGCATTGAAATAAGAAACGATGTTTCATTCCCTTGCAAGATTCCTTCTGGGGTTGCGAGAGGTTAGGTTCTTTCACTCTTCTACAGATTTAAATGTTGGGTCTCACCTTGGCTTATTGGTTTTCTAGGCTAGTTTTGATTAGATATATAGTTCAGACTTTGAGAAGCATTTTTCATGTCTCTCATATGGGCTAATCCCTGGAAAGCCTTGTACTTCTCCCAAAACTTCCATCCAAACGTACCCTAAATGCTATAAGCAGAATTTGTCAATATAAGAAAATAAGCTGCTTTGAACGACATTATTGGAAATAAAATTATCATTAGTCGAAGAGTAAAATTCCTGAGCTTCTAATGGAACTCCCTTGCTTGATTTTTTGTGAGATCCTAGAACTCAATCCACGGCTTACATTTTAACATGTTATTATGTGAATGGTGAAAATGAAAGTTATTACCTAAGAAGGACAGAAACTCTGCAGAGCTCATGTTTCGTTCATGAACTTGGGCACACATTGGAAACTTCGAATTACCATTTCCGTGCTGTTTCTAAATGAAAAATAAATGGAATATTTGTTCCTCTAATTAATCAGGAATATTGGGCCTCCCTTTTTTCCCTTTTCTGATGGGAATTCTTGATGGAAACAAGTGTCTTTGTGAAAGATTTTTATATGATTTTTATGAGATATATTCAATTACTCGTATCAACATGATCTTTGTGATCTTCCATGGCCCGCGTTACATTTGCTAGATATGTTTATATTATCTATATTTTAACATGTAGACAAGGTTTAAAAAGGCGGGTTCAGGTATCAAGGCAGTTTGTTCCTAAGAGGCGAGGCATAAGCCTTGAGGAGTATTGAGGCATAAGCCTCAAAATATATAGACATATAAAACTTAAAATAGTTAGACTAGTAACAAACAACTAAAGAAGTAAAGGATATATCCATATGAGCTAATACCAGTAAGTGTGAAGTCCAAAAAGTGTGAAACACAAACACATATGAGCTAATACCAGTAAGTCATTAGAATTCAATCACACAAACATCACACACAGAAACATCACACACAAACTGAAAGATGAATAAAAAGTATACGTTAAGGACTTAGGGTTTAAATGAATAAAAGACTTGTTAGGGTTTCAATGAAATAAGACTTGTTAGGGTTTAGTGTGCCCACATGTTTTAATTAATGGACTCCTATTTAAAAAGTACTCTGGGCCTTTTATTAAATGAAATGTCTTAGGCCTTTTTAAGTTACTGTACATTAAAAACAGAGAAACAAAGGAAAAACGCCTCAGGGCACGCCTCAAGGTGTACACCTCAACTTTTTAGGCGTAATCCTCTTAACCTGCAAAAAAAAACCTAAACCCTGATACCCAATCTGTACGCCCCGCCTTGAGGCGCGCCTCAAAACCCGCCTCTTAAGTGCCTAAAAACCCAATGCATGTAGACTATTTTTTGGTTATGTAGCAAAGTTTTAATGAAAATATGGATACACATAAAAAATGATTATAAATATATGGCTGGTTTCGTGCACACATATTTTTTATATTTGTGCACTCTGCCACGTTTCCTAGCCTATATCTTTTGAAAAGACTTTTTCGAGTTTCCCTTTTCATGCTTTCTTGCTTTCTACCATCTCTATAGGTAGCAGGAATCTCAAGGTATCTCAGTTGAGGGCTGGCTTCTGGGAAGCAATTACATCTGGGTACATCATATCTCTTACAAATACTCTATTATTTTCTGACTTATGTCCATCATATCCATGTTTGTGCTATTTATTGACTGAATCCTAGTTTGTTTGAACATTTTCTTACTTGACTCCTTAGTGCAATTTGTTTACCAAATTGCCAAAAACAAACTACCCTCGCTACATTATTTGGCCACAGGCCCACAGCTTGCATTTAAGATATAGCTTATCTTTTTTCTTTGAAGTACTATTAAGTTCATACTTCATATATGATTTTTGCTTGTTTGGGTGTAAGGATTCACAGAGAAGTTTCACCATAATTTGGTCTTACCTTCATCAAGTATGAAACTTTTGAAATGTTTTGTGTTTAAGGTTTTCAAAGAATAACAGTTTGGTCGAGCCTCCATCTTCCGTCCAAGAAGAGGAAGATCATGTCCCTGAGGAATTTATTCTAGTTGAAAAGCCTCTACCAGATGGGGCAGTTGAACAGATTATATTTTCTTCTTGTGGGGATATTGATTTGTATGATCTTCAAGATTTATGCGATAAGGTGATTTATGTTTGCCCTTTTCTATGAAGCTCTTTATTGTTTAGCTAAATGACATGTTTGAAGTTCACGGAACTATCTGGTAATATACACGGACCCTACTGAATCCCTGTTTCAGTTTGTTTTCAATTTTCCCTTCCTGGGAATGACCTTTTCCCTTATTTTAACAACGTTGTTTGAGTCTTGAGGTAAAATAGCCCACCCCACCATTTCATTGTGTTATGAATTTACCATAATATATAAATTGTGCCCGTTTACTGTTTATTATGGAGTATACACACACATATATATACATATATATTTATATAAAATAAATATATATATCCATATAATAAATGTATATATATTATTTTTTAATAAATAAGAAGTACGGAAACTCTGTAGAGCTCACATTTCACAAGATTAGAATCTGTAGAGCTCACATTTCACACGATTCACATTAAATGTATCCGTTATTTTTTAATAAATGATGGATAGAATGTGTTATTATTACAAAATGAAAATATTATTTGTATTAATCATGGAATGATTGTAATATTTTTCACATGTTATCTATATTAAATATGCTAACCAAACTTATTGTACTAGGGCCCCTCATGGATGGGTCGCTCAAACATATTGAAGCTCTGAAATAGCTGTGTAATAAAACTTCGCGTTTCAGAGAACTGTAATCTAGATCGGACGTTTAGTGACATATGGAATTAATCTGTCTGTTTTTTATTCAACAGGTTGGCTGGCCTAGAAGGCCACTGAATAAGCTCGCCACAGCTCTTAAAAATAGCTACATCGTGGCAACTTTACATTCTAGAATAGTATCAACAGAAGGTATTTAGTTTCATCTGTGGTATCATGAAGACTAGCCTGTTTCTTACAGTTGCATGCCTGAACTATTAATGAGTTTCTTTTAATAAATTAGAGCTGTGAAAGGTTAGAATACAAAGATATTGAAAGCTGATTTGTACTAAGTGTGCACAATAGTTATAGGGTAGTGGTAATACCAAGGGTGATGGTTAGCACTTAGAAGGATTCATGGTGGTAAAATTCTCCCAAGTGAATAAGTCAGGTGTGATAATTTGAGGGTAAATTTAAGATAATTTTACTGTTCTCTTAAACCCTTCTCTAGCACTCTCCCAACACACATCGTTATCCATAACTATATTGGTTAATAGAAAAAATTATAGTGCTTTTGTTACATGTCTTAAAGCTAGCACAAGATTAGATTAAAAAGAGGTAGAATGTGGTTTCCCTGTTCTTGTGTGCTTGTGTATCTTTTGGCATCTGAGTTTTTCTTAACCCTTCAAAAGAAAGTGACAAACGGCATGATGTACTTGGGCTAGTTACTTGGCAGAGGTGAATGTCCAAAAGAAGCTGATAGGTATGGCCCGTGCAACATCAGACCATGTCTTTAATGCTACCATTTGGGATGTTCTTGTAGATCCTTCCTATCAGGTTATCTTTTACATCAACCTTAAGGGTTCATTTGTAATAAGGATGTTTTTATTTGGACGGTTTTTAGTCCGAGACCAGTCCAAGCAAGAGCAAATTTAAATAGACTTAAACAAATGAAACCATACCAGACTTTGATAATTATAAAACACATGGAGACCAGACCAGTTCAGATCAAACCAAACCAGACTAAAACAAAGCAGATCAGACCATAAAATTTCAGTCCAATTAAAAACATTCTAACTGGTTCAATCTGAATTTATTGATTTTAGACATTTGTTTTAATGCATTTTGTTTATATACATCTAACATATAATGGTTACAAAAGTTGTTTATATATTTCTAGCATATACCGATTAAAAAAGCTAAAGCCAAACGTTGGAAAAAATCATTTTATTATACAACACATTTTTCATTCTACCAATCCTACCATTTTCCACATATTGCCACATAGGTATAGAGGATAGTTGGAATTCTAAATAATTTAAAAAGAAAAAAATATTTATTTCCCGGCACAGTTGTACACTTGTACTTGTACTCATGCTTCTTTTGACACAGGGCCAAGGGCTTGGAAAGACCCTTATTGAGAAGCTCATACGGACACTTTTGCAAAGGGACATTGGAAATATTTCATTGTTTGCTGACAGTCAAGGTACCATGCCTAAATGATCAGAAAACTTATGGTTGTGTGAATGAAAGATATTTAGTTATTAAAAGCGGGACTATGCACCATATACATTTTCTTGAGTAACCACAACTTAGTAGAGCATAAAACTATAATGTAAAGCCCCGTCTAAGTGAATACATTTTGAACCTTATTACATACGGAGTACTAATTAGGGTGAGTTTTACCAAATACGTAGTATATCTTTATATATTTCTGCCTTACTAAAAGATTGACTATGCTGACCTAGCAGATTTCACGCTTTTTTAAATGCAGTTGTTGAATTTTATCAGAACCTGGGGTTTCAACCTGACCCTGAGGGTATCAAAGGCATGTTCTGGTACCCAAGGTCGCAGTAGTAGTTTGTATCTGGCTGTTTGAATGAAAGAATCATCATGCAGCTGTCTAGGCCACAGTCGTGTTTCAGGCATTTTGTTGTCAGAAGAATCATCCTCTTATGATTGTTGAAATCTCCCGACCCATTACACTAATTCATTAATGTACATCAATGGAGAAAATGGAGGGACACTTGTGTATTGACTATTGACCATATGAACTATGAAGTAATAACTTTCAAAAGCATGTCATCAACAATTTTTTTTGTGTGGATAATCTGCAATACTAAATTTGTTTTGTTTACATGTAATTTTTGGTCCTCTTGTGGCCACTGTCACCTATGTAGTTGAGGTGCCGCATCCCAGCCATTCACCCATGAGTCAATTGACCCTTCTCATTGTGCCACGTTGAGAAACTGTGACTACCATAAGGGTGGAGTGTGGAGATCTCGCTATGCTTCAGGTTCCTCCAAAATAGCTAAACACCAGGCGGTTTCATTCAATATTGATTTCTTTTTCTATTTTAATGCTTTTAAGGCACAAAGTCGAGTGAGAACTGAACTTGAATCGGATAGTTTTACCGGACTCAGAATTGAACCGGTACTGAATTCCCCTTTCTTGGGACTGGAAGTGACCCATACACCCCTACTAACATATACCAAACGCATAAAAAATGTAGTCACGTTGTCTTTTCACAAACTGAAAGTGCTTTTGGATAGCATAAGAAAGCTGAATTGCAATTTATTTTGAGAAAAATACCCATTTAGGGAGGGACAAAACTTCGTTTAATTACCACTTCTAACTATCTAAGACACATTCAGTTTTGTATATATATAAAAGAAAGCATCCATCATTCCATTGTAAGCAAATTTGATTCCCTGATTTTTTATATTCGTACTCGCTCACAGCCATTCATAGCAAAAGCTCCCATATTGATAAACATAGAATTTGAACTCTAAGAAATATCAAGAGAAAAGGTGCAAATAAGGCCATGTACTAACCAAAAAAGGTCAAATAAGGCCTTATTTAAGATACTCTGTCCGGCCGTCGCCATTTGGGGTGGTTCCCGGTGGAATTTTCTGATGAAATTTTTTGAGCATCTTATTCAGTAAGTCTAGTTTACTCATACCAAATTTCAGCTAAAACTTCAATCGGGAAGGCATTCAAATGAATTCTTGAAGATAACTGCGCTTTTAACTACGTAGTTATCTTCAAGAATTCATTTGAATGCCTTCCCGATTGAAGTTTTAGCTGAAATTCTGTATGAGTAAACTAGACTTACTGAATAAGATGCTCAAAAAATTTCATCAAAAAAATCCATTGGGAACCGCCCCAAATGGCGACGACCGGACAGAGCCTCTTAAATAAGGCCTTATTTGACCTTTTTTGGTTAGTACATGGCCTTATTTGCCCCTTTTCCCAAATATCAATAACAGTTGCAACTATAATTCAAAAGGCGCGACAACAAGAGGAATGAAATGTAGCTTTGATCCTCTGGGAAAAAGGCTGGCTAAACCTACTCGTGCGCTAATGCAAGTATTGCAACACGTGCAATTTTTTTATTCTCACTAAAATCAAGATAATAAACAACACAGTGCAACACAAAATGAACAGCTTACAGACCAAATTACTTTGAAGAATCATCAGCATTCACCAATCTCTCTTTTTCAGAAGCCAATTCATCCTCCTCTAATGCAGCTACTGTCTTCTTTTCGCCATCATCCACGCTCTGTGAGCCAGTCATCCTGGCCAACACCACAAACGACATCCCCCCGAGAACATTGTTCAAACATCTCAACACGATCACCGAGCTCTTGAACACAAATGCTGGGACAGATTTAGCCAGCACGAACTCGACTCCATTCAGCGTTTGGTATCTCAGATTACTGCTCACCCCCATGTGAATAGCCCAAGTGGCCGCATTCAGTATGGTTGGCGGGGGCTTGTTCGGCGTTTCAAAACTCGGATCCATCTTCTTCCTGATCTTGATCAGTCCGTTCGAAATGGCTGTGCCCACCAGCCCAGCTGCGAACCCAACTGTAGCAAAGAGCACACCTTTGTACACTAAAGTGCCTGCCCGGCTGACCAGGCCGTAAGAACCGGGCTGGAACATGTGGCTTGGTGGGCAGCTAGAGAATATGGAAGGTAGGGTTTGGCTTGCTGAGGAAGCGGTTGGCGCCAAGAGGTACATGAGGACGAAGTTCATGATTGAGCCCACGACCATGGTGGAGAAGACGAAATCGAGCTCGTTGAGTCCGAAGTTAGGGCGAGATGCCATGTCTCCGATGACACAGGCGGTGACGCCGACCAATTCCTCCATGAGAACTTTAAAAGGGAATTGCGGATCGGCGGCAACCCTGGATCTCCATCCGCTGAGAAAGGCTCCGATCGGTCCGAAATTGTCCCCAGAAGAAGATTTCGAGTCATCTGAATCGCCACCGGAACTCCAATCCCCGCCTCCATCACCTTTCCTGCCGCCGCCTCCGACCCCACTGTCACCAACGCCGCCTCCGCTGCCGGCGCAGAGGGGAGGCAGTTTGAGGAGCGAATCTGAATGCCGTTGCTGCTTGGAAGAAATCGAAACTGTGAGATTACTGGCAAACAAAGATCCATTGGCAGAAAAAGAACGCGGACATAGAGGGGTGAGATTCCGACTCTGAGAATGATTCGGAACAGAAATAGCAGAAAAATGAAGCTGGGCCATCGCCGCCATCTTGAAATCTTCTTCTACCCAACAATGGGATCTTTTCTTTCTTCAGTAGATGCTATAAAGCGGGATCGAGAAACAAGAAAGTGCTGGAGTAGGTAAGCTATAAGCTATGGAGAGTGACATGAACTCATCAGCTTCCGAAGCTTATTTGACTGAGGATCATCAAAAAAACGACACCGGTGAACAAGCCGCCAAATATGGAATTTACCCCACAACCCTAATTAAGGCTTTGTTTGGGTGAGGCCTGTTGCCGTAGCTGAAAAACAAGAGAAGAAAAGAAATTAGGAAAAATTGTCGATTCGGGTCATTTTACTTTTTAAAAAATTAATTAAATCCCTGAACTTTGTAAAAAAAAGTTTAATTGAATAAATCTGCTGGTCATTTGCCATGTCAGCGGGTCACCCATTGACATGGCGCACACATGGCGGTCTACGTATGTGCCCGTCTTCAGCAATTGGTTGACAAGACTTTCACATGTGTGTCACGTCAGCAAAGTTATTGTTGATTAGGCTGAGACATGTGTGCCACGTCAGCGGGTGACCTGCTGACATGGCAAGGAACCTGCAAATAGACTCAATTGAACTTTTTTACAAAGTTCGGTGATTTGATTGATTTTTTAAAAGTACGAGGACTTAATTGACTTTTTCAATGAAAGTACGAGAACCAAATTGACTGTTTTCCTCAAGAAATTATGGAGTCTGATCCTGTTTAGTAATACTCAAATCAGCTGTATTGGCTGATTCTGCTAAAATTTACTCCAACCAGGGTAGGCCTGAATTCGAGCGATATCACCACCAGGTAGCTCAACTAGTGACTCTGCCTGAACCAAGTCATGTATCGCTTTTGATCCTATGCAGAATCATGCAATTACCTCCATCAAACTAAATGGAAATAATTTCCTCCCGTGGTCGTAGTCGATCAAGCTTTTCGTCCAAGGAAAAAGCAAATTTGGCTACCTCTCGAGAAGAACAATTCAGCCAGACCTCAAAGATTATGGATATGAACGATGGGAGGCCGAGAATTCCATGATTATGTCATGGTTGGTGAACTCAATGGAACCATAAATTGGCCGAACCTATTTGTTTCTGCCATCCGCGAATGCCATCTGGGATGCCCTAAAGGAAATATACTCAGATTCGGGGAATGCTGGGCAATTATTTGAGATCAAGACACAAATGGGATAGGTGATACGGGGGGAGAAGAGTGTAACTCAGTACTACACTGATATCATGACTCTTTGACAAAAGTATGATCTGTTTTGTGATTATACATGGCACTGCCCGAAGGATGCTGTCCTCTATTGGAAAATTGTTGAAAAAGAAAGAGTTTTGGACTTCTTTGTTGAACAGAGAACTTGATGATGTTAGAGGGAGACTTCTTTGCCGAGACCCATTTCCAAGTACATAAGAGGTGTTTGCTGAAGTTCGTCGCGAGGAGGGTCGTCCACATGTTGGATGCTTAAAGATGAATCCACCTCTTTACCCATTGAAACATCTGCACTAATGATCTCAAAACCAAATTTCAAGTCTTAGCATCCATTGCAACAATCTAATAAGAATCAAGAACGACCAATGCGTGATTTTGTCACAACATCGGGCACATCAAGGCAAAGTGCTAAAAGATTCACGGCAAGCCAGCTGATTTCACTCATTCCAGCCGAGTCTCACGCAATACCAAAGGATGCTTCCTCACTGCATCTGGAGATCAAGCAAACACATCCATCGACACCTTCTCCTTCACCAAGGACAACCTAGAACAATTGTTTCAGTCCTGAAATACTCATCGGTCTATTAATACCAACATCAATACTTCAAATACATCAATCTCATATACCTCAGCCTCAAATAACTCAGCCAATCCTTCACCATCTCTGGCACAAAAGGGTATCTTGGCAGCCACCCTTAGTGTAAGTTTAGAAAAATTCAACCCTTGGATCATTGATTCAGGGGTTACTGATCACATGATCGGGTCTTCCTACATGTTTTATGATTACTTTCCTTGTTCTGGTAATTAAAAGGTAAAAATCGCAGATGGTTCCCTATCCGTAATTGCTGGAAAAGGTTCTGTCATTATATCTCCTTTTATTACCTTAAACAATGTCCTACATGTGCCCAACTTATTATAGAACCTCGGGTCAGTCAGTAAACTTGCTCACGATTCTGATTGTGTTGTAAAATTTGTGTCAAATGGTTGTGGGTTTCAGGACCAACGCTGTGGGAAGACGATTGGTAGTGCAAGAGAAAGTGATGGACTCTACTATCTTGCTACAGACAACCTCTTGAGTAAACAAGCTCAGAAACCATGTTTTTCTAGTTTTTATTTTTAGAGAATGGAATAATGTTATGGCACTATCGACTAGGCCATCACAACTTTGATTATTTACGCCATGTGTTTCCTATTTTATTTAAAAATAAGGATGTGAGATTTGTCAAATTGGTAAACATAAACGTTCTGTTTATCCTTCTTTGCCTTATATGTCATCTAAACCTCTCTCTTATTCATAGTGACATATGGGGACCATTTTTTTTTTTTGACATATGGGGACCATTTAAGATTAAAAATATTTCTGACACTAGATGGTTCATAACCTCTATTGATGACCATCTAAGATGGGCACCCGAAGGTTGGAAGCGCCGTCCTCGCTAAGAATGGGAAGAAATTGGCGGAGAAACCGGAGGGGTCCGACAAGCTGAAGACTATCAAGGAAGCCACCCTCCCGGAGGAACTTCTCAAGCTGGGCTTTCGGCGATTTCGTTTGGTGGGGGAGGTTGATGATGAGTACCCCCTGATAGACAGGGTTTATGAGAGTGCTGAAGGTGAATGTCGAGGGCTCTTAGTTGTGTACTTAGGATTTTCTTTCAATCATTGTTGTATTCTGATGTTTGTATATGTTTCCCTTCTCTTGCAGGCCCGACAATGGATGCTAAAAACTTTGCCAAGCTGAAGAAACAGTTGGCCAAGGAGCCGAAGAAGAAAAAGGAGGGCCCATCCCAGCAGAGGCCTGTTGAAGACTTCTTCCCGAAGGGGGAAGCTGTGGAGGTTAAGGGGGCTGAGGGGCCCTCTCAGGCTATCGCCGAGGGCGCTGGTGCTCTGAAGACCGAGGCGGCCAAGAGGAAGGCCCCGAGAAAGGCTGTCGAGGCCCCCGGCAAGAAGGCCAAGAAGGATGCCGGGGGCAGAGATGCTCCTGTAGACATTTCCGAGGGCCATTCCTCGACGGGTACCCCGGCGATTGTGGCGACTGCTATCCCCAATGCTCCCCCGGGTCAGGGAGGCGAGTTGACGTGGCCGACGGAGAACGTGCAGTTCTCCATTACAAAAGGAACCGCCATCATGCATGGCACCCTCAATCCGAGGGAGTTCCTAAATGGCGCCACCCCCCGACGGATAAGTCGGTGCTGTCTACGTACAAGGACGACGTCCTCGTCGGAAAGGTCCTACAAGCCTCCGTCACTGTAAGATTTTTCTCCTCTTTCTCTCGACTTAGTACGTTTGCTTGGCATATTTCGATTTCAGAGCTTTGACCCTCGTTGTTTGATGATTCAATTTTGCAGGCTGCCCTCGGACTTGGTGAGCTCCTCAAGAGGCTGGAGGAATCACAGGCCCAGAAGCGGCAAGCCGATGAGGCCCTGGCAGATTCCCGGAGGCAGCTTCGCGAGGCTAGGGAAGCCCTTCGGCTGGAACAAGAGGCCTTTAACCAAATCCTTGAAAATAACAAGGTGGTCGCCAGAGCCGAGGGCAAGGCGGACGCTGAGAGGGCCGCTGCCGAAGCTGTCCGGGTCGCCGCCGAGGGGGCTGAAGCCGCCAAGAAGGAGGCCGTTGCCCAGGCTGAGAAGGAAGCCGTCGCCGCCTTTATTGCCGAGGGATGGAGGGATGAAGAGCACAAACAATGGCTGTCCTCGGTGGTCGAGGAAAGTGTCGACAACTGGGTTGGTGGCCCCGGGGCAATGTGGCTAGCTCGGAAGGGGAAGAGCTACTACGAAGGTGGTGAGTACTTTACTCAAGCCAACATCTACCGGAAGCTTGCTCGGCATTTCAACGTTGATCCGAAGGTGTTCAAGCCAGAAGCCTACGGCCTTCCGCCCCTCCAGCCCGATGTGCGGATCCCTCTGCCCGAAGGCGAGGAAAGAGAGCTGCTTGAAGATTCTGAGCTGGCGAAGGAAGCCGATGATGAGGAAGTTGAAGATGATGCAGCCTCTAGGTCGAAAGGAGGCGATCATGAAGCTGCCCCCTAGGAAATTCATGCTTTCAATCTCTTTGTAATAGATCAGTGCTTCATCGGCTTCGGCCATATGTAACAAACATTTATGCAATCTCCCCAACAATTATCATGAATATTCGCCTCCGGGCTTTGTTGTGTTATATGACTGATCACCTTCATTTTCAACTCTTCTGTGTGAATGTATGCCTCCCTTTTCTTGAATGAATGTATGTTTTCCTCTTCTCTCGTCTGGTTCTCCGAGGGCCACAAATTTGTGGACTTAGAAAAATTTTCTAAGTGAGGACTTTTGTCAACAAGCCTTCGGTTGTAGTATAGGTTCGCTGGGGCATGTAGTTGTGGACTTAGAAGTTTTTCTAAGTGTAAACCCAAACATGAGCCCCCAGTTGTATGTTGGGGTTGCCGGGGGCTTGTTGTTGTGGACAGAAACTTTCCTAAGTAAAACTTCTGTCAAAACCCTTCGGTAAAGAATCCCTGTAATGCCTCCGGTGTGAAGTGGTAGGACCGAGGGCTAAAATGAATTAGGCTTAGGAAATTTTCAAAGTGAAATTGTATCTTATGCCCCCGGAAATGCTGGGCCTTCGGTTAGTAGCATAGCTTCGGGCCATTGCCAAGTGGTTTAGGAGGCCATCGGCCACGAATCTGTAGGTGAAGAATTGCCCCCCGAAGGGTCTCTCGTTTGTGGACTTAGCCATTTTTTCACGAAGTTTCAATAGGTGCTGTAGTGAACCTTCGAGCGTGGGAACTGCCTGAGCCCCCGGTGCATATGGTTGCCGAGGGGTTCGAGATTATAGACTTAGTGAAATTCTGAGATGTATTTCCAACAGGTCTTGTGAGTAGCCCCCCGGTTCGATGAGTGTTTTCCGAAGGGTGCGAATACATGGACTTAGAAATTTTTTCCTCGTCGAATGAGCCTGGTGACATTCTGCCTTCGGCATGAGGCCTCCGGTTTGTGCGGATATAGGTTTAGCTCGCCTTGGGACTTCGTGTAGCTTCCGGCATGGTCCATAGTTGAACTTTGATCCAGCATAGATATTCGTCCTTAGCCAAATCTAGGTGAAGTTTTGCTAGTGAGCCTTCTTCTTGGGCCTCCGGTGGAAATCTCGTACCCCAAGGTTTCATG